GGGTGGAGGGACGGCACAGTAGGGGAAGACCCTCTATGAGATGGATTGATTCGGTGACTGGGGTAATCGGGATGGGTGTGTCAGAGGCAGTGTGGTTGGCGCAGGACAGAGCAGGGTTTAGGGCTGTTGTGCATAGGGTCGCTGTGAGTCGAAAACGACTCGACGGCACATAACAACAACAACAACAGTGTTAATTCCTCCCTGAATGTTTGGTAGAATTCAGCCATGAAGCCATTTGGGCCGTTATTTTTTTGTGGGGAGTTTTTATGATTCTCAGTTTCTTCTTTTATGATGGTTCCATTCAGATGTTCTACATCTGTCTTTGTCAGTCTGGGTAGGATGGAGGTTTCTAGGATTTTGTTAATTTCCTCTGGTTTTTTTAAATGTATTGCAGTCTAACTTTTCATAAAATTATTATTATCTGTTTAGTGTCATCTGGTTTTCTTGATGTCAGCTCTTTAATTTCTTTTTTTTAATTCTTTTTTATTTTATTTTATTATTTTTGCGTGCGTGTACCGTCAAGTCAGATCTGACTGGTACAGGAGGAGATTGCCCCTCCTTCCCCGGCAGAGCATCTGGTGGATTCGAACTGTGCACCTCTGGGATTGTAGTTGCAGCTTCTTGCCACTAGGCCACCAGAGCTCCCCTAGCTCTTTAATTTCTTACTCAAGTTATTTGTATCTTCTCTTTCTTTTCTTTTGTCAAGTTTGCCAATGGTTTGTTTATTGATGTTTTCAATGAATGAGCTCCTTGTCTTCTTGCTCATGGTTTCCATTTGTTTTCTATCCCATTAATTTGAGCCTTGGTCCTTATAATAATTTCCTTTCTTCTAGAGGCTGTAGGATTAGCTACTTTTTCTTTTTCTGTTTGTTGGAGATGTTGTTTATTTTGCTCCTCTTTTTAAAACATTTTTTTGTTGTGACTTTAATGAAAGTTTACAGAAAAGTTGAATTTTCATTTGTTCATTGTTGCAGATTTTCCTCCCTATGTGTCTCCCCTTTTAAAGTTCACTTTTAAAAAGAAAAATATTCATTCATTGTTGCATCATTTGCTCCCTTCCCCTCTCACTCTCTCCCCATTCACTTTGCTATGCACCTCTTGTTCTGGGCTGTGGTCATAAAATTTATGGCTAATCATATATTCCTTTTAAATAGTTCTTTCCTTCATCTGTTCCAATGCAGTATTCATTTTTTTATCCCCTCTTTTCTTAGTTTCTCCCCAACCCCCATGTCAGTCCTGTTTTATAACAGTGGTTATATGCAATATTTGTTCCTTTGTGACTGAGATATTTCACTCAACTAATATCCTGCAGGGTCACCCATATTGTGTAATATTTTATTAGTTCTTTCTTTTTCAGTGCTGCATAGTATTCCATCACATGACTATACCATAGTTTTTCTATCTGTTCATTTGTTGAGGGACACTTGGGTTGCTTCCATTTCTTTGCTGTTGTGAATATTACAATAATAAACATGGATGTGCATATATCTGTTTGGGTGGCAGCTCTGATTTCTTTAGAATATATTCCTGGTACTGGGATTTCTGGGTCAATGGTATTTCTATTTACAGCTTTTTGATAAAGTGCCATACTGCCTTTTGTAGTCGTAGTTCGTCCTTTTTTTATGTGCTTCTCTCTTGGTATGACTGCTTTCTGTATCCTTGTGGGTTTTGTACTTTATTTTTTTAACTTTCATTTGGTTCGAGGAACTTTTTTACTTCTTCTATAACCCAGTAGAACGGAGCTCTGCTAGCCTACTGGTAAGAAGCTACTCTGCATTCCCAAAGGCATACGAGTTTGAATCCACCAGATGCTCTTCAGGAGAAGGATGGGCAGCCTCTTCCTGTGCTAATAATTACTGCCTCTGAAAACTCTCTAGAGGGTTAGCTATGAATTGGTTCAGACTTGATGGTACCACCAAGCCTGTAGTGCTCAAGCAGTGTTTAATTTAGCTTCCACGTGGGTAGTTATTTCATGTTCTATCTTGTTAACTTCTAGTTTCAGTGTTTCCTAAAGTTTGCACATACCTGTCTGCTTTCTTGCTTTGGCGGGTTGGGAAAGTAGTTCTCAAGTTTTGCAAATATTGTTTTAAAAAAGCATAAATGACACCTGAGTTCAGGAGTGAGGTTGACTACACCTTTGTTAAGAAACATTGTTGTTATATGCCATAGAGTCCCCTGTGACTCATAGTGACCCTGTATACCTCTGAACCCTCTCTTATCTTGAGCCAGTCTCACTGCCTCAGAGACACCTGACCCATTACCCCAGTTACTATGTCAATCCATCTCATCCAGGGTGTTCCTCTCTTACGCTATCCCTCCACCCTTCCAAGCATGATATCTTTTTCTAAGGACTGGTCCCTCTTGGCAGTATGCCCATTGTATGTGAGGCAGAGCTTCAAAATTCTTACCTCCAAAAAGCAACTGGTTTTACCCAACTCCAGGACAATGCTATTTGTTCCATTGGCAGTCCATGAAATAGTCAACACTCTTCTCTTAATACCACAACTCAAAGGCATCGATCCTTCTTCTGTTATCAATAGTCATTGTCTTACTCTCTGATGTTGTTGTTATGTGCTGTCGAGTCATGACACATAGCGACTCTGTGTACAGCAGCCCTAAACCCTGCTCTGTCCTGTGACAATCTCACTGTCTCTGACACACCCACCTGAATTACCCCTGTCACTGAATCAGTCCACCTCATAGAGGGTCTTCCTCTCCTGCACTGTCCCTTCACTTTCCCAAATATGTGTCCTTCTCCAAGGACCAGTCTCTCCTTACATGTCCAAAGCATGTCAGACAAAGCCCCAGAATCCTTGCCTCCAATGACCAGCCTGGTTTAACCTTCCCCAGGATGAACCTGTTCATTTTCTTAGGAGTGTGTGGTACATTCAATATTCTTCTCCAACACCATAAATTCTCCTATCTTCCCTCGTCATTGTCCAGCTCTCTGATGCATAGTGAGTGATTGCAAAGACCATGGCCTGTATCAAAATTTTGTGGGGTCAATTATTCATAGTTTTTTCAAACAACCTCTTGCTTCTAGTGTTTTTAAAAATCCACTTTATTGAGATATAATATAATATGCAGACAATAAAATTTACCAATTATAAATATAATTCTATGAGTTCTTATGGTTGAATAGAGTTGACAAGAATCAAGTTGTACAGAGCATTTCCATCATCCCATCATCCCCTGCTTCTGCCTCTTACCAAAGTAATAGCTAATCTATCTTTTTAACGTTATAATTTTACCTTTTCTAAAGTTCATAAAAGTTATCACACAATATCTAAGACTTTATGACTTTTTCCCCTTATTCATGTTGCATATATTGTTTCTTTTTATTACTGAGTAGTCTTCAAGTAATTCATTTTTATTGTTGCAGGTAGACAGCATAGTGTCTGCTGAGTATGAGCTGGAGTACCTGTTACTCGAAGGTCATTGCTATGACATTACCACTGGCCAACCCCCACGGGGACTGCAGTTTACCTTAGGAACTTCAGCCAACCCTGTCATTGTTGATACCATTGTTATGGCTAATCTGGTAAATAATTAGCAAAGCAAATTAATAATACAGTCATAGTAATTTGATTTATATGATGGTGCAGTAATTATTCTGAACCATAGAATTAGATTTAAATTCATGATTACCTGATATCAGTCAATATACAATTATTAATTCGATTAAATTTGTACGGTAGAGTGGAATACATGTCAGCCTAACAAAAAAATATGCTCCAAGTTTCTACTGTGATCAGCCTATCTCCTGAATGTGGTTTGCTCATGGATGACTGCCTTTGCTGTTCTTTGTTCTTGCTCACATAATCATTCTTCGCTGAAGCACAGCCATGGGATAGGCTTCGAGGCTTGACAGCTTTATATTTTGGTAGCATGATGGGTAGTTTTGTTATAAGCATAGTCTTGATGTTTTAACTATCTTATTTAAAGTATAAATGATTAATATTTTGTATAATAACTATGTAACCCTCAGAAATAACATTTTATGTTCCTCAAAGCTCTAAACTCTGACTCTTTTTATCCTAGGGCTACTTTCAGTTAAAAGCTAACCCAGGAGCTTGGATTCTCAGACTTAGGAAGGGGCGCTCTGAAAACATTTACAGAATCTACAGGTAGGATTAAGTAATACATTTTTTATTGTTGTATCATAGAGTCAGAACCAACTGATAACTGACCCCCAGTGTGTTTTCAGAGTCTGTAAATTGCGTAGGTGATGGCCCATCTTTTCCCCACAGATCAGCTGATAAATTTGAACCACGTGCTTTTGGGTTGGCAGCACAGCTCCTTACTGCTAACCCACCAGAGCTCCCTAAATGATATAGGTAACATTTTTTTCCAAAACAGTTTGAAGTGTGAATCATCTGTAATTGAATGCTACAGTAGCATTTAGTCCTTCAAAGAGTTTAGTTAATAATTGGGTATTTGACAAAACAATGTTATTATAGCAAGTACAGAAAAATTATTAAGAAGTGTGAATGCTAATAAATATTAGTCAGTTTTCACTCTGATTCCTTTGTGAACAATAATCACTCTGTTACTGTGATGAAAACCTTAGCAGGTAAGAAAAAATTTGAAGCATAGCTTTAAACCAGTTGTTTGCATTTCATTCATGACCTATATTTATGAAATGTGGGTTTGCTGGAACAATAACCAGAGAGAAAAGTTAAAAGTCAGTGCCTTGCCAGAAAATCAGTATCCCTTTTGGCAAATACCAGTGACATTTGTATGTTGTTTAGCACCAGATCTCTTCACATGTGCAATGGGAACTTGACATGCCCTATTCAAACACAGTCCCTGTTGGAACCACTGGGTTCCTCTTCATAGTCATAAAAATAATCTAGTCTCCATATTAAGTTCCTGAAAGGGTTCACCACACTGCCTTTCAATCTTCTAGTTCTGGACTTCAACCCATAATTTTTCCTATTCTAACTAATATTCCCATGCACCCACACTTTATGAATTTGAATGTGCTTTGGTTTGGCTGCATTGGCCATGATTGAACTGGTTCAAAACAGTAATTTGGTAAATAGAGAAATAGTAAAACTTGACAACCCAGATAATTTGCTTCTAGACCCTAGTGATTTACATTAAATTCACATTACAGGAAGATTTTTTTATATAAATTGTTGATGTTGAAATTTTTTCCCCCTGTGGTTTAATAATGTAAAATATTGTGTCTTACTGATTGGTAGCACTCTAAGTAGCCTTTTAAAAAATTAGACTTATTTTTAAGGTCATTATGAGTGGTAGTCTTCTCGATGACACCTAAAAACAACAGCCAATTCAGCTTAATTTTGTTTTATTTTAAGCTGTGTAAAAAAGACTTTATATCAGTTGAGACAAGGGAGTTTATTTTAAAATCCTTTAGTATCCTCATTTTTCTGTCTTTTCTCTTGATAAAAGTGAAGCAGTGTAAAGAAAGGGAATGTTTCTTAACAGGAAGTAGAATAATTTTATATTGTAGTGTTTTCTTTGTAAATCACTCAGTCATTGCAGTTGAGTCAGAATTGATTCATACATGATCTGCTGTTAGATTTGAACCATCTACCTTTGAGTTAACAGTGTAGTGCTCAATCCACTTGGCCATCAGTGCAACCTTTGTTGTAAATAATAGTGGTTTTCTCCAAATATTTTTTCCCCAAATGTATTTTATAAACATGCAATCCATCATAAGACTTCTCACTTCTTTTTCCAAACCATTTGTTCCTTCCCTTCCCTCATCCCTGCCACACTTCTCCCTCCCTTGCAGGTGTGGTGCCCCCTCTTTAAGAAACTGTCTAGGGCTTCTTCCTCTTGCACTTTTTCCAAGCAGATTTTCCTCCCCTGAAATGTTTCATGCTTCAGGTTTTCCCCCTTGTCTTAGGCTTAATTAATAGAGAAGTAGAACCACTGAAGCTCAGCTCTCTATAACTTGTAGCATCAGACAAGTCTTGGGCCCATGGATCAGACCTTAGGAGAACCTGAAATGGCTGATGAGTTCACAGTCAGAAAGTAAGATAGGCTGCTAGCTTTAGAGGCAGACAAATCCAAGGTCACCGGCCTATTGATTCAAGTCCAAGAACCAGAGGTAATGAACCAGTGCATGATCTAGGCTTGGCCAAAGTGCGAGCAGTTAATCACAGAGGTGTTTACATTGTTTAAGGTCTCATCAAGGTAATGATCCTGTTATGTCAGGTCTGATCAGGGAAAATGATGTAACTGTCAGCCTGACTCAGAGGCAGCTAAATTTACATACAGCTTTAACCATGACACCCATCAGAATTTTACTGATTGAAATTTTCTTGATTGAAAACATGTTCTTTGCTGATGATACTAACTAACCTCAAAAAATTATATTATTATATTGACTCTGTAGTCAACACCTTGAAATTTAGTGACTTTTTATAAATATTAAGCATTCTAGTTTATTGATTAGGAAATATTAATTTTTCATCATTCCCATGTCAACTTACAAGTGGACCTTATTTTTATTTTTTAAGTTTATTTTCTTAATTTTAATGAATATTTACAGAGATTTTGTATTTCAGTTCATTCATTATTGCTATTTTCTCCCTGCCCACCCCTCCCCCCAGTTCGCTCCTCTCTTTGAAAAGTAAAAGAAAAATTCCTTCATTGGTATACCGTATCCCCTAACCACCCCCCGCCCCAAGTACACTCCACTATGCAACCTTAATTTTGTACTCTTGTGATAACCATAGTACCCTATCATACACTGCTTTTAAACTGTTCTCTCCCTCTTCTGTTTCAATGCAGTATACATAATGTATCCAGTTTTTCTCAGTCTTACCCCAACCCTAATGTCAGTCCCATTTTACAACAATGGCACTATGCTGTATTTATTTTTTGTGACTGAGATATTTCACTCAGCATAATGGACAAGTGGACCTTATTAAAGTTATTATAGTTAATTCTTCTGCGTGTTGTAGATACCATATTAAATCTGAGGCATAAACGTGGCTCCTTGTGTGCCTCTAAACCGAAAGATACAAGAATTTCTTTTCTAAACTGTGAACCAGAGGCGAGTTCTGGTGGCCTATTGGCAAGAAGCTGCACTGCAATCCCAGAGGTGAGCGGTTTGAATCCACCAGATGATGATGATCTGCTGGAGAAGGAGGGACAATCTCCTCCTGTACCAGTCAGATCCAATTTGATGGTACACACACACACGCACGCACGCACACACACACACACACACACACACACACACACACATAAAATAATTTAAAAAAAAGTCAGGTTTTTATGCCAAATAGAAAGTTACTATGTGCATTACTATGGTCTTCAGCGTGGCATACCCTCCCCTGACCCTGCTTAACCTGAGGTAGGCACTGTGCAAGGTATTACATTGTTGACTAGAAAGAGCTAACTCCGTGCTTCCAACACTCACCATGCTGTGAGAGACCTGTGCTCTGGGAGATCTATTTACAGACTCGTGGAGAAGTTTGATCTGTGACATCCCATACCAACTCACAGGGCTTGGTTTGTTGAGAAAAAATTATTTAACCCAAAAAAGCTTTATGATTAAAATGATGAATGTCTATATGCAATTGTCACATCATTTACTGTATGAAATAGCATTTTGTAACATCTACATTACTTTCTCTTATTTTCTAAGCCATGATGGTACTGACTCCCCTGCTGATGCTGATGAAGTTGTTGTCGTCCTCAACAACTTTAAGAGCAAAATCATTAAAGTGAAGGTGAGGCAAGCATGCTAAGAATACCATTCTAGCAGGCTGTTAAAAGTGACATTATTCTGGTGGTCAGTAGCCGTTATGTAAAACTAGGTCACTGGAAACCACTCTGAGACTTCAATTTTTTTAAAAAAATTTATTAATTAATTTCAGTAAAAATTTAGAGACTTTGGATTTCTATTCATTGTTGCACTTTTCTCCCCTCCCAACCCTTCCCCCTAGTACACCCTCTTGGAAAAGTAAAAGAAAAATTCTTTCATTGTTTTACAAACCCTCCCTCAGGTCCACTCCACCAGGTAGCCTTCTCTCTAGACTCCTGTCATGACAAAAATACCTAATCACATATCCCTTTTAAGCAGTTTTCTCCCTCATCTGTTTCAGTGCAGTATATACATTATTGAACCCATCTTTCTCAGTCTCTCCCCAACCCCAAGGTCAGTCCTCTTTTACAACAGCGGCACCATTCAGTATTTGTCCTTTTGTGACTGAGATACTTCACTCAGCATAATGTCCTCCAGAGTCAACCATTTTGAATAATATTGCATGAGTTCCTTGTTTTTCAATGCAGCATAGTATTCCATTGTGTGAATATACCACAGCTTCTCTATCCATTCGTTTGTTGATGGGCACTTAGGTTGTTTCCAACTCTTTGCTATTATGAACAAAGTTGCAATAAACATGGGTGTGCATACATCTGCTTGTATGTCAGTTATAGTCTCTCTGGGGTGTATTCCGAGTAGTGGAATTGCTGGGTCAAATGGTATCTCTATTTGCAACTTTCTGAGAAAGCACCATACCGCCTTCCACAGTGGTGCACCATTTTACACTCCCACCAACAGTGAATAAGGGTTCCAGTTTCTCCACAACCTCGCCAGCATTTGTTGCTTGCTGTTCTGTTACATTTTACTCTTCTGTCTGGGGTGAGATGGTATCTCATAGTTGTTTTAAAAGACTTCAATTCTATTTGGAATTTTACTATAACATTGTATACAAATACTGCTTTAAATTAAAAATAATTTTTGTAAAGTTTTTAAACCTTCTCCAACTGAGAGACTTTACCTTTTGCTTAATCTCAATAAGTGACAGAAATCCTATTTTTCTAAAATTATCTCATACTTACCGTGTTATCAATGAGTGACAGAAATTCTGTTTTTCTAAAATTATCTCATACATACTGTGTTATTTACATAGGCACGACTCACGTCACTATTATGATGATGTTCTTAGAAACTTGGAAAATGGCACTGAAAATTCTAACATTTATGCAATTATTTCATAGTATTTCATAATATTCCATCTCTTTGTATTACTCAGAATTGAAAGGTCTGATGGAATAATTATACAGAGTATAAGGAGCCTTGGTGTGGTGTTGCATTGCATATTGGTGACAGTCTCACTCACCAGCCTCCTGGTGGAGGAAGGCTGAGACTGGTTCCTCCCATGAGGTTTGATGGGGACCCAAGAGCAAGGTTCCCATGAGTCCACATGGACTTGCAGATGAACATGTTTTCTGGACACAAGATAACATCTAAAACAGCCATCATATTTGATTGAGCAGAAGAATGACCCTGATGCTATAGAGAAGATTCATCCCTTTTTATTAGTAAATAATGGAAAAAGTGATACCCCATGACTGCTGCCTGGTGGTAAGTTCATAAAGACTGTACTTTCCCCTAAGCTGCTGTTAGCTTAGGGAATTTTGCTTCTGTTTTTACTCCGACTTTGTTGCCTTCTAATTGGTCCTTGCTCCTTTAAAGACTGAAAATCGTTTTGGCCTAATTCATAGAGACAGCTGCTGTCTCCTGACTTGAAAATCTAATGGGAACAGCATGATGAAGATACTGCTTTTGTGTGACTAAACTCTGGGTTGTATTGTATCTGGTTGTAGGGAAATTACCTGCTATGCTTTATTCCTTGTTGCTGACCGTATTCACAATGGACATCCAAGCAAAGTTTGTTTTGTGACTGTCAGACATAATAAGATCATCACATATAATTACAGGTTCAGAAGAAGGCAGACATGGTAAATGAAGACTTGCTAAGTGATGGAACTAATGAGAATGAATCTGGATTCTGGGATTCCTTCAAATGGTAAATTAGTATCATAAAAAAGTGTATATAACAGATTATATCTTTGAATATAGTAATCTGCTTTGTGCCTGTAAATCATGTATTTTTCTTTAGAGTAGATAAATATTTTCTGCTTTTCTCTTCATAGTGCATTTTGTTTTCTTCCCTACTTTTTTCATCTAGTCAGTTATACTTGCCCTTTAGACTGGTAAATGATAAAGACTCAGTTAAGTTCCTTTCATACAAACCACATTCTCTGGTACAGGTTATGCTCAATTTCTGTTGCTAAAGCAAAATGGAAATGTGTTCTCCTTGCTCTTCTCAGCAATGGTTACTCAGCCTGTTACTCTCATCAAGTCTGTGAGTGGCATTCCCACAGAAGGAGAGAGAGAGAGAGAAGTCAGCTACTCTTAAAGGGCTGTGTGTCTGTACTAATATTTCAGATTTTCTTGCCTTTTATCATTACAGGGGCTTCTCAGGACAGAAGAATGAGGAAGTAAAACAAGATAAAGATGACATAATTAATATTTTCTCTGTTGCATCTGGTCATCTGTATGAAAGATTTCTTCGGTTAGTCTTATTGATTATTTTAGGATATATAAATGAATTTTTCACAGTTGTCTTATTTAGGAAGTTTGTAGGATTTTACCATTATAATTCTACGTATTTGAAACCATTTAAGGACTATAACTAGATTACCATTTATAATTCCATTTACATTGAAACCAACCTATGTAATAGCATATTTGTATGGCTTGTACAAGACTGTAAACTTTTAATATTACTGTGCACATATTATTAGAAAGTAAAGTACTTATTTATCTGCAACACTTTGTTAAGAGTTTTACATGGAGAAAGAAGTGGAACCCATGTTGCCCTTCCCAGTTTTCCAGGGATACCTAGGACTTCACAGCCTGCTACCTCTATGTACAGATAAGGAAACTGTGGCTGATAATGAGGGCTTTCCCTGGGGTTGTACTCTTGAGCTTGGGCAGCCATAGTCTGGGGTCCTGGGCCAGGGGTAGCCCCCAGCATGGCTTCACCCTCAGTAATATGGACAGCTCAGGGAGAGCTACTTTCCTCAGTGCTCAAATTCTTTTGACTTGAATAGTTTTACTAAAAATATAGTATAGAAAATAATCAAAATGTCATTCACTTAGTCTTTCTCCAAGAAATAAAAGCTGCCATAAAATATTGGTAAAGTCTTAATTCAGAGTTTGTTTTTATTTCTTAGAGGAAGAGAGGCATTGTAAGCCTACCCCCATTTACCTTTCTCTGATCTCTTCCTGCTCTCTGTCCTACGGTTCTAGTTCAGGTTGTGAAAGGCAGTATAGGCTCTGATCTCTTTAGCACTGCAGGCTTCTGTGACCTTACCCCCAGTATTCATTTATACCACAGCTAATCATGAAGCCATTTTTTTAAAAAGGTATGTCATCATTAGAACATTTACTTTCACTACACATCTTTTTTTATAACTGTCTAAGTAGAAATAAGTATACTTTTTCATGAGTGTGGGCCTTTCTCTACCTAGTTGAGCCATCTATCAGCTCTGTGGGGAGGAACATTTCGCAGTCTTTTGATTGACTCTGCTTGATGCTGAGGTTAAAAAGCATTGGAAGATTATCATTATTTACCTTTGTTTGACAGTATAATGATGCTATCGGTACTGAAGAATACCAAGACCCCTGTGAAATTCTGGTTCTTAAAGAATTATTTGTCCCCTACATTTAAGGTATGTTCCTTAGGAAAAAGAAAAGCACTCTTAGTAAGGAGATGCTTCCAGTGTACTATACATTTTACTGTTTTTTCTTTTATCTGTTTTAATTTTAAATTTTCTTTTTATTTGATAGCCTGATTCCATTTCAAGGGAGTTTGGGTGGCTTAGTGGTAAGGAGTTGCACTGCCAACCCAAAGGCAAGCAGTTCAAATTGACCAGTTTCTCTAAGAGAGAAAGATGGGTATTCTTCCTCCCATGGAATTTACAGCCTCTGAAAACCTTCTGACTCAGTTCTGACTCAGGGCAATGAAAAACAACATCAGATAATTTTATATTTCTATTTTGATTCTTCTTCCAGGCTAGTTGGTTTTGCTTCTTGTTATTGTGTGTCTTTAAGTTGGAACTAAGTCATAGCTGACCCACCTGTGGATTTTCAGAGGCAGTAAAATTTCGTGGGAGAAGATTGCCCATCCTTCTGAGAAGCAGCTGGTGGATTTGTACTGTTTGTCTTTTGGCTTGGCAACACTGTTCCTTACCACTAAGCCACTAGAACTCCCAGATGATTTTAGATAATCAATTACTGGAAAACCAAATGCAAATTGATGGCTTATTTGTACTTGGTACTTGGATGACATCTGTTTCTTTACTTATTATTAGTAGTGCTTTGTTAAAGTAATATTCTCTCCCTCTGAAGCATGTTTGTCTTCATTTAACTTGGAAAACCCAGTGATGGTTTCCAGTGGTGAGGGTGATTAATTTGATCATAAACACCTTCCAAATGATACATGTAGGTAAGCTTTCATTTGTGGGAAATAAACACTTGAAAAGTGTTTTGATGGCAGTCACTGTTTCTTATATGCATTGATTTATTTCTTGTTTGGTTTTGAACATTTTATTGTGACCTGAGTGAAAGCTTACGGAGCGCTTTAGCGTATTCAAAGACTTGTGTACATTTTTTTGTGACATTAGTTACAATCCCTTCAGTGTAACAGGTCCTGAATGTAAAAACCATCTCATGAATAGATTTGCTTCAGTGAATACTAATGACCAGAGACCCAACAAGTTGTGAGATGACATCAAAAGCATCATACATGAAGAATGTAAAAAGTTATTAAAAATAAACAGACAAGCAAAAGGACTAAAATAAATGAGAGAAGTAACTTTGCAACTTAATTTTGAACAGATATATACTAAAGAGGAAGAAGAGAGCTGAACAGAATACTCCAAAGGACAACTCCCAAAAACAAAGCCGTTTTTAATGAAATGTGCAAAGAACCAGAGTTAGAAGATTAAAAAAACAAACAAACAAACAAAAAAAACCCCTTTTGTCATTTCTCAATCCAAAATACAGAAGAAAAAAATTCAAGCCTCAAGTTGCAGTACTGAAGAATTCTATAAGCAAAATCTTGAATGAAGCAAGGAACATCCAAAGATGGAAAGAATTCGTCAACACTGGACTGTTTCAGGAAGTAGCATATGGTCAAGAACAAATAAAGGCAAAGTTTTGCTGAAGGCATTGGCAAAAAATAAGTCCCCAGGATTTGATGTGTTTCCACAAACGGATGCAGCCCTGGATGTACTCACTTGTCTATACCAAGAACTTTGAAGATATAGAACAGTGCTGGTGGCTTAGTGGTAAGGAGTTGTGCTGCCAACCTGATGTCATGCAGTTCGAATCTACCAGCTGCTCTGTGGGAGAAAGATGGGAAGTTTTCTCCCATGCAGTTTACTGCCTCTGAAAACCTTCTGGGGGGTAGCTATGAGTTGGTTCTGACTCAACAGTATATAACAACAATCCATAGTTGTTGTTGTTATTGTTATGTGCCATCAAGTTGCTTGCGACTCATAGCGACCCTAAGTACAAGAGCCCTAAACGCCGTTCTATCCTGTGCCAACTTCGCCGTCTCAAACACACTCATTCCTACCACTCCACTCACAGAATCGATCCGTCTCATTGAGGGTCGTCTTCTCCTGTGCCGTCCCTCCACTCTCCCAAACATGATGTCCCTCTCCAAGAACCAGTCCCTCCTTGCAGCATGCCCAAAGTATGTCAGACGAAGCTTCAGAATCCTTGACTCCAAGGAGCAGTCCAGCTTCACCCTCTCCAGGACAAACCTGTTTCTTCTCTTGGCAGTCCGTGGTATATTCTCCAGCACCACAGCTCAAAGCCATCAGTTCTCTTTCTGTCATCCCTATTCACTGTCCAACTCTCAGATGCATAGCACGTAATTGCAAAGACTGTAGCCTGGATTAGGCACACCTTAGTCTCCACCCTGACATCATTGCTCTTTAGTACTCTTGAGAGGTCCCTCACAGCTGACCTTCCCAATGCAATTCGTTTCCTGATTTCCTGGCTGCTGTTACCAAGAGTGTTGACTGTGGAACCAAGTAAACTAAAACTGTTAACTCTCTCAATCTCTTTGCCATTCATACTGATGCTACCAATTGGCCCAGTGGTGAGAATCTTTGTTTTCTTAGATATAATTTAAAAAGGCAAAATATCAAGAACTTGGAAGACAACTATCTAGACAACTGATGGGAAAAGATCCACATGTGTTCTTAGTAAAAAAGGTGGTCCAGGAGAAGATGAAAATGATTGAATAACATCATTACTATCATATAAAAGTAAAATCTTGCATAAGATAACTTAAAAATGTGTCAGTACATTGACAGGGATTTCTCTGAAATTTCAACTGGATTCAGAAGAAGCCATGAAACAAGGTTATCATTGCTAATGTCAAATGGACCTTGGATAAACGCACAAGATATCAGAAAGATGTTTACATGAGTTACATTGATTATGCCCAGGCATTCAACTTTGTGGATTATAATAATTTATGGGTAACATTGAGAATAATGAAATCTCAGATTACTTGTGCTAACATGAAACATGTACATAGACCAATAAGCAGTCGTTCAAATAGATGGTTTAAGATCACAAAAGAAGGAGTCAGGGTGTTGTCTTTAGGCAGTTGGAGCCCTCTCCTAAAGACCAAACCTCTCTGGGAGTTTGAATCCTCCAGCAGCATCTTGGAAGACAAATGAGCAATCTCCCTGGCCCCCCATGCAATGAAATCCATGGAATGCTCAGCTGAGTTGCTTCCCAACAGTGAGGTTTATTTAATTCAGTTTGTATGATGAGCACATAATACAAACTAAATTAAATAAGCTGGACTACATGAAAAAGAATGTGGCATCACGTTTGGCGAAAGATACAGCAACAATTGTGATAATGTGGAAAGTGAAGACTCTTGAAGCACTAATGAAGACAATCAAATACTACAACCTTCAGCATTATAATTCATTATAAAGAAAAAAAATCCTCACAGCTGAGCCAATCATGATAGATGGATAAAAAGTCTGGCTAAAGTGGTAAAGAGCAGGGATATCACCTTAAGGACAAGCTGTTATACTTTTTAGTTGTTTGATATTCTTGTGAAAGACCAGAAATGAAGAAGACTGTAGAAGAATTGATACCTTTGAATTGTGTTAGTAAATAGTATTGAATACACTATGGACTGCCAGAAAGAACAAATCAGTGTCTTAGAAGACATACAGCCAGAGTGTTCCTTATAGATAGGATTTAAGAGACCTTGTCTTGAATATTTTGACATGTTGTCAGGAGAGGCCAGTTCTTGGGTAAAAACCTTATGCTTGTAAAATTAGATGATTATAAAAAGAGAGGAAGACCTACAAGATGGACGGCAATGGTCACAGTGGAGATTGTGAGGAGGGTACAGGATTAAACTTTCAGTTTGTAGTACATAGGGTCTCTAAGGTCCGAGGTCACCCAGTGTTACCTCACAGTGTAACAGCCTTTTCCCACACCTTCCCTGGTTTCCTAGTTTTGTCCATCCTTCTTTCCTGCCTTCTGAATTTTGTTTTGGGCAAAGATTGCTGTTTTAATCTCTTCTGACTATCCTGAGGAATACATTCTTCACAGGTGTTTGTTCATGTTATAGGCTCCTCTGTGCTGAAAGATGATCCCAGAGCTTGAGTTCAGTTCTGGGTTTGAAGGGTAGCTAAGGGCTGTAGTGTCAGAGGCTACACCAGTCTCTACCAACTGAATAAGTATGGCCTGTCTTATTTTCCCTGCCCCTATTTTCAAATTTTTTCTACATTTTTCTCTCACTGCATTCAGTTCGGTACCTTCAGATGAATTCTGTTTTCATTACCGACTGCCACTATAACAGATACCACAAATGGCTTGCTTTAACAAGTCTATCCTCACTGTTATTGCTGGGTGCAGTTGAGTCAGCTACGACTCATTGTGACTTTGTATGAAAGATCTGAGCCTTTCCTGTCCTGCCTGTCCCCGTCCTCATCATCTCTGATACACTGGAGCCCATTGTTACAGCCATTGTGTCTGTCCAACTTCTTGTTGAGAGTCTTCCCCTCGTTTTCTGACCCTCCAGTTTTCCCAGTATTATTCTTCTAGGAGGCTGGAGGTCTCAGTCTGCTCTGGGGTTGGTGGTGCAGGAAAGTCTTGGTTGTTCTCAGCATTTGTAAGCTGGCCATATCTTGGCAAGACATAGCCTTCCCTGATGTTAAAGAGCTAATACCTGCTGAGACTTCCTCCACTCTTTGATTCTTCTTCATGGCACTGACAGCCCCCATCTTAGCAGACCTTCTTTCTTAGTGTCTCAAGTGATTACTCCCCTTACATCTAATCAGGACTATGATGTGATTTAGGGATGTTGTAGTCCCCTTACTTCTCATATAGCTGTTTGGTCTATTAATCCATAGGGGATGACTACATTATATCATTACATACATTACATTTATTTTGTGAGAGCATAATTCAGTCCATTGCATTCAGCTATGGTAGTGGAAAACAACAGCAACTACTTCAGTTACTAAAAGGCAAGAAAAGATATTCTGACATGCTGTAGAAAAGGGAAAAAGAGGGATAGATAAAGCAGGGCAACTAAACCCAAAACTCCTGAAGGTTACATTTTATAGAAAGATTTATATGAAGTTATGCTACTGAAATTCCATTTACATCAAAGGAAAAA